ATCTCATTTCGAATATTGTCACTTAAATTGGAAAAACTCCGCTCGCGCATTTAACCCTTCGGGCCGGGCGCGCAAAAAGGAGGTGTGACAATTGATTTCTAGGGATACAATAGAATATCCATTATCCTTTAATCATACGCACCTTCTATAAAATTAATGTACCAAAATATAAATATATATTCTGATAAATACTATAATTCGATATACATAACCTAATTTTCATAATTCTGATACTTTTTAACTCAACATCAAATTCAATAAATACTTTCAAAATGACAAATAACAATTGCATGCCAAATATATAATATGGGATAGATGCACAAAGTGTGTATTCTAAAAGTATGAAAAAGGGTTCTTTCCTTTACGTAGAAATGGTTACTTTCTAAGTAGAAAGTCCTCTTCGACTAACATTATCATTTTCAGCAAGTTACATTTTTATTTTATAATTCAAGTATATTATTAAAAATATTAGTATAATTTTTTAATATTATGTACTCATTAATATAGGTACACGCGTAAAATGCGTACCTTAAAATTAATATATATATATATTGGCTATTATTTTAAGAATAGCTATACAGTATCATTTTCTCAAAATAAAAATTGGGTTTCAATCAGGCCCAAACACCATACCCATTAAGGGAAACCCGAGACGGGCCCAAAGTTATGGGCCGAGAACTCAAAACCTTAAACCCTAGTAGTCAAGTACCCAATATACTAGTAATTCTATCTTCCTCATAAACCCTACTCTCTGCTTTTCCCTTCCAGAAAGAGACAGAGTAGAAATGGGTAGCGATAGTGAAGTAGAGAAAAGCGCACAAAAGGAGAAGAGGAAGCTGTTGGCCTTAGCTCCTATTGCCAAACCCCTTGCTGGAAAAAAACTCAACAAACGCATCTTCAAACTTGTTCGCCGAGGTATCCTTTATACTTCTTAAATAGTTCGACTCATCCATTAGTAATGGAGTATTATTTAACTTTTTGTTTTAATTTCCGAACCAACAAGGTGGATATTGAGGTGTAGTTGTTTGATTGATTTACCCTTATTTGTGATTTTAGCTGCGGAGAAAAAGTGCTTGAAGAGGGGCGTTAAAGAGGTGGTAAAGAGTATTCGACGCGGTCAAAAAGGGTCAGTC